TTTGTTTTTTCACACTTTTCTTAGTATATATTTTACGTTCGCGCTTTCTATCTATTACTCGTTAAAGACTACAGACTGGTAGTCGAAAGCTCGTTTTAACAAATTTTTAACCAGAGATCGTTTCTCTATTTTTCTAAAAGACGAATAATGTGTCTAATTAAGTGCGTCTAGGTAAATACGAGACCCATTAAACCTGTCTGTTTTTGTCGCTTAATTACGAATTGAGTAGATTTCCATTTTAGGGAAGTGTGTGGGTTTTTTTGTGTGTTTCGTATTTGACTAAAAGAATTATATATCTCAGAAGTTAAACGCGCCCGTTTCATAAAATTACTGAGTTTGTATGACGTTTAATGCTTCCTATTTCCCTATTTACTGTACAAATAATACGTCTAAGACGCATTATTCGTTTTCCTAGGTAAATACGACCAATGCGCCTACTTTTAAAATTAATTTAATAGCACGTATTACGTGTTTTTTGAAAATCGTATAGCCTTCGTAGCAGTAGTTTCCTTTTCAAGAGCACACGCAGCTTGTGAACGATTGGAGCGGGAGGCGGAGGAGAAAAGTTGCGGCGAACTTTTCGTTCCCTCTCCCATCCATTCTACTTCCCAGAGGCTCTTACTCCAACATTCTCCGCGCCTCTTGCGCTTTACGAAAGCTGGCGACTGCTTCGCCGACTAAACCTCACGCAAAGTTGAACATTAAACCCTTACACAGGGAAGTCCTTTATTTGAGTTAAACGGGACGTGTCGTTGGATAGCATGTTCGTGTTTTAGTAAATTCTGGAATGCGTGTGTTCAACGATAGCTGTCACCTTTAACCCTCTCGTTCCATTTTAATCTCAACGTACGTGTCTTGGTATTTTTCCAGTTTTGTCGTTGTTTGAGATAACAGCCCTAAAATAGAACATCTGGCAATGCTTTTACTCTACGCCAGGGGTGCATTTACTAAATTTATTGATGTGTTTATCAAATTCATGATCAAAGAATCTGTTCTTTGCATTTCATTGCTGGAATATATATCTGATGCATTTTCACAAACAAACATAATCTAAATTAGTCATCTGGTGTTTCTTGAAAGGGAACCTAAGCTTACAAGCCTTGTGGTTTTTATTAGGTTCCCTCGCCATTTTTTTTCTATCCTTTAATATATAAATTGTAGTTTCATATCTTCATTGTAATCTTGTATATCAATTTTTGTAATTTATTAATCAATGTACTGTAATTCTATTTTTGTTTGTGTGTTTGTGTGGCAAATCAAAAAAAATCAAATAAAAAATAAAATCCAAGGTGAATTAAATCGTTACGGTAACATCAAAGCGTTTCGCTGCTAGGTATCTCAGTTCTGTATTTTAATATCTTTGGAATTAAGTTTAAAAGTACAAGACGTTGTAATAGTTTTTGAGAAGAAATTTAACCATAGTGGACAATTCAATTCCTACCGGTTTATTTGAACTAAACATTGTATCCCTAAACATCTATTTTAAATTGTTTGATGTTTTGGCTGTCCACCGATTCTCTCCTAGTCTTATTAATCCGGTCGCAGAAAATAGAATAAGAGATCATGTCAGCCAAGTTAAAAATTTAAGAAACTGGTTTAATTGTTCGGCTGAATAATAATGATTTTTTAATTAAGCACAGTTGATCAGCGGAATTCGGAAAAACCACTGCATAAAAATTCCTGATTCTCAATGTCAATTTTACACACGTTCAATTTGAAATAAATAACCCAATTCATGCCCAAATAAAGATCCACTTCCCACTTAAGATAATGGTAAAATACAGCCTCGTTATGTAGAACAAACGGTAAAATCTAAACTTATCTTCTTTTACTGTAACTCTTGAATTACGGAATATTCAAAATCCCTCCGAATGAAGGAGACAGGAGGTAACTCCGCATGCGTGTTGATAGCTTATGTTAGCTCAAGACTAAGCCTGCTGGTGGTTATGTCATTAGAGGTCTCCTTATGTCTTACTTTGTTCAAATCTCCTTACCGGGTTATAATCTCTGTTTTGAGAAATAGCGTCTTATCTACGGCGACTGGCATGAAATTACATTCCATGACATTAGAAGACGCGTCATAAAGGCTGAACACATACCAACACGGAACTAGTTACGAAACGAGTTCATACCACACAGACGTGAAGTTCTACTGTTATAAATTGTTGATCGTTTTAACTCTTCAAGCATGGCACAGTTTGTGTGTTTTACTGTTTTGTTGGTGTTTTGTGGAACAGGGGCCTCACTGGAAACCACTACCAGCCCTCAACAACAAAATAGCGGCGATACCAAAGACTTATGTGAGGTACAAAAATTAATATCAATTGTCTCTTCCATCGGCAATCCATTAATTGAATATGAGTTGTAAAAATCTTATTCTTTTTTCAATGATTTACGGTATATATCTTTCATTTGGGTCCGTCTAGGATTGAAGCAAAATGCGCATAGCGTCTGGTCCCAAATGGAGGCCAAAATCCTTAACTAAAATGTTAATAAATCATTAGTGTTACTCTCAGTAAGAGTCGGCTTCACAAACGAACAAACATCATTGTTATGTAAGAATCAGTGGAAAATATTTGACCCGATTAAGAGGGCGTAGGGTGACACTATGATGTCTGATATAGATATCAAGACTTGAAACTACTATTGAAGTTTCCAGAACGTGACCATTGTCTCTAAATTGAGAAGATGTGTCTGAAAGAAAATACGAGAAGACCACAAGCGAAATAACAGACACGTTGAGACTAACATAATTATAGTAAGAAAATAAGCTTAGTAGTAGTAGTAGTAGTAGACTTGCTGAGTTAGTTGCTACAAAGAAGGGCGAAAGTTATGCGACTACCATGTCATGGATCAGGGCAAGAGTATCTTTTGCGCTGCAGAGATCAGCATTACTTTGTTTAAGAGGCTCGCGAGCTCCTAGGAGAGTCACTTAGAACTGTCGGACATTGATTTAGATATCGAAAAAGGACATGCAGATATTCGTTAAGGCAATTGAGATGCTATTTCTGGGGAACTCTAGCCGAAGCCACGAACACTGAGCCAAGAAGTGGACCTACATATAGCTACAGTGTATTTTTAAAGTAGAGTTTTTGCCATTTAAATGTGTAGAGTATTTTTACTATTTCTATTAAAATTTTTTCGAGAAATGACAATAGACAAATTTATAAGGGTTGTAAAGAATGAGTGTAATTTGTAATTCGTTTGTAAGTTAGTATTTTCCTGACATATATATTGTCCTAAGAATTTTTACAGTTGTAATTTTTTTATAAGCCACTAATAAACATTATTTTTAGAAAATAAGCTTAACTAATACTGCTGTAGCAGTAAGAGACAAAAAAGGCGACTTTTTCGTAGTATCTAAATGGCATCACGATATGTATCGAAATAAAAAACATAGTTTTGTGTTTTTACACTTTTATTTTTGCTAGCTAAATGCTTATTTTTTTCTTCTTAGAAATCCATATCTACACACGGATTTCCAGGTATTCCAGGATCCAATGGCATGCCGGGAATGCCTGGCATTCCTGGACCGCAAGGACCACAGGGAAGAGATGGAGTTAAAGGACAGACCGGTGACAAGGGATCGCAAGGAATGCTGGGAGAAAAGGGAGAAAAAGGAAATGAAGGGCCTCGTGGAAAGAGCGGACCACCAGGAATGATGGGAATAAAAGGAGCGCGCGGAACTGTGGGCGATCAAGGAATAAAAGGCGATAAGGGAGAGAAAGGAGAAAGCGTGACAAGTCCTTCTAGTGCAGTGCCACAAACCAACTGGAAACAATGTGTGTGGAAAGCTAGTGATAGTCGAGATAGCGGTAAGATCAAGGTAAGAGAGAAATGTTCTGATTGCCAATGGTTATGGGCAAACTGAAATTACTTTTGTCACCTAATATAAGGAAAATTCAGATTCAGAATTGGACAAGGATTTATGTGAGGGGGAATCAGAATTTTAACATCCAAAGTCTGAGAGTTCATATGCTGTTATTAACAGAAATATCTTGTCAGCTGGTTTCATATCATGGTGATGAAACTGATATTACATCTTAAAGATAATGAGAAGTGGAATTTGACTTGCGTTCTGGAGTACTGAGCATCCATTCTCGTTCATCCTCTTATTATTACTCAGCATGCAAGACAAGTGTCACATAAGAATCTTTGTTACGTAGTCCATATACTATTTAAGGGTGAATCGTTCATACTATCATACTAGATACACATTCCAGTCCAAAATTATGTCGAAGCCCAGGTTTTCTACAATAATAACCAAAAACATGAGAATCGGTGAAAAATAGACCCGATAGACCAAAAATAACACGCACAAAACCATTACCGACTGTTTCGTTCTAAACAGGTAAACAATACAACATGATAATAAAACATCTACGTCTACTTCTTTAGTTCAGCTATTTGGTGTTCAAAAATGGCGACACGAAAATTCAACCAAGAGGAAGCTCTCTAACACGTGACCAAGCTTGCCGGATGCGGGTCCGCAAAATGGGTGCGCAACGATCGTACCACCTTACAGAGTATAAGTCAATAGATCAGTGGCGAGATCGTCTAACTGGTATCTAGTCATAAATCGTCGATTCAACTCTTTTTTGGGGCTCAGAACTCAAATATCATTTTCTTTGTGAATTCAGCGGGACAAAGTTGTTTATTGCGTTCGAGCGTGGGCGGAATGCAGCCTAATTTTCTGTTGGTGTCCACATGTTGGGCTTCCTGCGTAATACAGACGAAATCGATCGAGGTTGCAATGGTCTTAGCAAATTCAGCCGCCCCAATTAATTTTTGCAGGGGCATGTCACGGCCTGTAAACTGGTACCGTTTAATGCTAAGACATGTGATAAGACATGTGGCGAACATGTGAGTACCGGTATGTGAGCAGGCCATGTGAGGTCGTCTTTCCGCTGGATCTTTCTTTGACTTCTTTCCATTCAGTCGCCGTACGCTTCGCTATTATGATCTATTATGTGCTCTCAGAGTTAGATTTTGGTGAATTTAAACGCTTCGACGGTTTATTAATTTTTATTGGCTCTTATACTATTTAGTTGGGTGTGGACTGAGTACTAGGTATTATTAGACGGTACTTGGCGTGTTTTTGTTTCGAAGGAAGAAGGAGGAAATTTGATTTCACGAACGCTTGGTAAGGGCCTTGCATTGAACGGAGTTTGAGGAAACTATTGTGTTGGGGTGAATGAGATCTATGTTTGGCCTAATTAACTTCGGGAACGGTGTTGAAGGTCCCTTTTGGGGAGATATCATGGCATTTGCTACCGTCTTTTTTCTTTTGTATGAGATAATGAACACAGATGGTAGAGGTACTATTTCTCGTTATCTCACGGAGGTGTCAAAACTATTGTCTGCTAAGCTTTTTCCTTTTAGATACATACAGGAGCTATAATCGGGGACGCAGACCGTAAGTCTTGGGATCCGCGCGCACCTATGATATGGGACAATAATTATTTTGCTATTTTTAGAACAAATTGCGCTATCCTGACGACGTATACCCGCGCGGATCCACGCACATGTCATGGGATCTCGTGTGAATGTTGTCACGTTGCGTGATCAAATGGTGAGAGTTGCGAGATTCTCTAGCGGATTTTTCACGGTGATGGCGTTGAATAAGGCAGCGACTAAGAACCAGGGCGCTTATATGTAGTGTTATGCTCTGAGCTAATGGAAAAGGTGAGTTTTTCAAGTTCGAAAACAAGACTTCAATTTCGCGCTGTGAGTGAACAATAAGATCTGCTCGCGCTAGCTAACGCGAACGCTTTTGCGTTTGTTCTGGCTTAAGGTGGCTTTATATAGTATTTCACAAAGCTTTGGATATTAAATATGCATAAGTAATTTCTCCCTTGGCAAATGTTTACAACATAGCACTCGGTAGAAGGTCAATAATAAAAAAACCTACAGCCTTAGGCTACGTATGGAAGACACTTTCAGAACCTAAATGTTGTTGCTATGGCAACT